ACCAGGTCTAGGACTTGAACAGTCATCTGTGAGGGAGTCCAGTGCTTTAACTACCATACACCTATTGGCTCCGACAAGTTCTCTTTTTTATTTTTTCCAACTTTATATTGAAAAATCTTAATATACAGAAGAATTGAAAAATAGCATAATAAATACCCTCTGTACCCACCACTTAGATGAATAATCTTTAATATTTTCTCACTTGTTTTCTTTTTTGTTGTTGTTTTAGTTTTTGTGAAAGAGAGAAAATGAGAAATCATCCCCGTGGTGGAGTGGTGGCCATGTTGCAATCCCTTTTCCTCTCAGAATTTTGGGCATGTACACACATATGCCTGGCTTGATTTTCAAGCTGCTGGGTCTGGGATTTGAACAGTAAGGCCAGCTATGTGGGATCCAGTGTCTATGCCACTTGTTTTCAATCTGAATTTTTTTTTTCTGAATTATTTGAAAGTTAGCTCAGATATAACTTTCACCCCTCAATACTATGGCATGCTTCTAAGAGTAAGGTTATTCTCCTACATAAGTGCAATACTGTTAATATACCCATGAAAAACAATATAATGCTGTAATAATAGCTACAACGCAGGCCATGTACAGTTACCCCAAGAATGTGTTTTATAGCTATTTTATTTCAAATCAGGATAAAATCAAGGATTTTATATGATTTTGTCTATAGTTTCTTTCAATCTAGAACAGTTCCTATACCTTTTTTTTTTTTTTTTTTTAAAGAAAGCATAATGCTGTTTGCTATGTTGTGATCCTTCTGCCTCAGGCTCCCCAGTAGCTTGAATTTATAGGCGCACACTGCTGTGCCCTGTTTTTAGAGTGGGCTGGGAATTGGATCCAGGCTTCCCTTGCTGCCTCAACCTACCAAGTAGCAGTGACTACCAGTGGATGAGCTACAAACATTTTTTTTTTTTTAATGACATCGATCTTTGGAAGAGTTGAAAATGATTCTTTTTCAAAATTTTCCACAAAATTTGTTTGTTTCCCTATGGTGGTATTTAACTTCCTTTTCAACTCCTGGCACTTCCTCTAACTTGGAATGAGGTTTAGAGTCTTCATTAAATATTTTTGGCAAGAATGCCTCAAGGTGATACTGCCTTCCTGTTACATCCCTGCAGGGGCACACATTATCAGTTTACTTAACTCTGAATACTGCTATTTGTTCACTGAAGGTAGTAATTGCCAGAGCTTTTCTATGTAAAGATATGTTTTTCTTTTGCAATTAGAAAGTAATTAGTGAGGATAAACTTTAGTACCATGTGAAGAATCTGTTCCTTTACAACATAATGTTCCTAGCAAGCATCAACAATTCTTTTTTTTTTTTTTTCTGGGCTTGTGCGCTCGCCAGAGAGACAGACAGAAAGCGAGAAATCACCATCCAGGGGGGATAGCCACGCCACAATCCCTTCTCCTCCATTCTCCTCTCGGGATCTTGGGCACGCAAGCATATGCGCCCGGCGTGAGTTTAAGCCACCGTGTCTGGAACTCAAACTGCGATCGGCTACATGGGAGTTCAGCGACATAGCCATTACGCTAACTGCTGGTTCCACCCATTGACAATTCTTTAAGCAAATTTTTATCCTGAAACTCGGTTTCTTCATCTGTAGTATGGGAATAATAATGCCTGTCTTTTAGAATTGCTGTGTGATGACATGTCCAAATATTATATAAGATACAGGGTATAAAAATGCTGTCACAGTCTGCTACAGTTTCTCCCTTCTGAGGATATCCCCTTTACCTTAAGAAAGTCCTTACTTTGCTCCATATATGTGATCAAAATTGCTGGTTTCTTAGATGATCTTACCTGACCACTGTGGACTGCAGCTGACTCAGGCTGAGCTGGCCATTATATCTCATTTCTATTGGCCAGTGTGGTATAAACAGTGATCCCAGCTAGGTCAATCAAAATACTCCCCTAGGAAATTTGGAACTAAGTAGGGGTGAGGAGATCTTTCTTTTGCCCTAGAGATCAGAGCTCTCTCTCTCTCTGGTATCAGGGATGAAAGCACAGGAGCCTTCCTGGTCTGGCTCTAGTCCTCTTACCTGTACCTTTACCTAGCCCCAGCTAAGTCAATAAAGGCCCTCTCTTGCCTAAGCTGGTACAAATTGGATTCTTTTTAACATTTTATTTTATTTACTTATTTATCTAAAAATTATTTATTTTTATTTGTTATTATTATTATTTTTAATTTGACCAGAGAAAGGAAAGAAGAAGAAAAAGAGAGAAGAAGAGAAAGGAAAGTCAGAAAGCAAACTGCCAAGTCCAGGACCTGAACCACAGTTGGTCATGTGGAAGTCTAGTGCCTTAACCACCACGCCACCTGCTGACCCCCCAATTTTTTAAAAATTAAAATAATTAAATTAAATTAATTAATTATTTTTTTGGAGAGGTTTTTGCTCTAGGGTGTGTGCGCTCGCCAGAAAGAGAGACAGAGAGACAGAAGATGAGAAATCACCCCCCGGGGGGATGACCACACTGCAATCCCTTCTCCATTTCCCTCTTGGGATCTTTTTTTTTTTTTTAAGATTTTCGCTATAGGGCGTGTGCGCTCACCAGACAGACAGAGAGAGACGTAGAGACAGAAAGCGAGAAATCACTCCCCAGGGGGGATGGCC